CTTTTTTGTCCCTGTTTTGGATTTTCCACCATGAGCGGATATGTTTTCTCACCTCAGGTGAGAGCCTGAGTGGGAGCTGGGGGACTATAGGTGTTCTCTGACACTGACTGGAGGGGAGCACAGCCAAGAATCATGAGCACTTTTGCCTTCATGACTGTATTTTCTTATGGTTAGAAACAAAACTAAACAATGTAAATAACTCTGCTTAATGGAAATCAGGAAAGAGAAGAGGCGGCTATGAAGTGATGCTACACACCGTGCATGGACCCTAATTGTCACCTAAATGTAAGAGGAGGCCAGGCACTGAGAACGCCCTGTGCAAGGAAATAATAAAAAGCAAACCCTCCAAGACATTTCCCACAAACCCAAATATTTCAAAGTAACAAAAATAAGAAGAGTGCCCTTTCTGAGTCACAAAATTGGCATGAAGTGAATTGGTTCTATGCTTGCTGTAATCATTGTTCAAGGAGGAAGTAGGGAAGCCATTGAATGTGTTCGGTGAGCTAGAAAGTAACTTTCCTGACTGGAAGGAAATGATCAAGGATGAGAAGCTAGGAGGAAAGAGATGTTTTTGACCAGGTCTCATTCTTCTCACTCTGTGTCTGGCCTTGAAAAGGACAGATTGCAGAATAGGAAAAAAAAATAGTTTGAACCTTTCCAAGAGATGAGTAAACAGCTCTCCTTCAGAAGAGGATGAGCTGTCAATGATACTGACTCTGTGACATCTCACAAAGGTAGGAACACTATTAGGCCATCACTGGTGTTTTGGTTTACAGGACTCTATTCTCCTTCCCTCAAAACTTTGATGAGATGCAACTTCCTTCCTGAGCTGAACTGTTGCGTTAGTTGTAGTATCTTGTCTTATGCCTCATTACTCACTATCAGAGCTCAGTGATGAAATGATAGAAAACTTGAGTCAGTGATGGGGACTACTTGAGACTGAGCAGGCAACAAAATGAAACCTTCAGGAGGCTTCCGGAAAGAGGGACAGGAGAGGAAGCAGTGGAGGGAATTTCATGCTGGGCTCCTGGAGGTACCATAAACAGGATAAAGATCTGGGACTTGTCTGTAATCAAAAAGCATAGGGGATAACTCAAAAGTGTTCAAGGACAGGAAAGAAAGCAGACTTGGCCTTCTTGCAGTAGCACTGGCTGGCAGTGGTTGAAACGTGAATGATCACATTCTAGTTAGGCACATTTCTTCAACTTTCATTTCATATTGTATTGTACCTTATATATGTGAAAAATTTAATATGATAATGAAATTGCTTTTTGATTTTTTTTGTTTTAAAAAGCATAGTCAACTGTGTTCCTGCTTCATCCAGTTTCTCCTAATTAAAGAAAGCCTGTCTGCAGACCTCTGTACTTGTAGCTGATACCTGTGTATACACATTGGGGTACATTATAATTTCAGAGTTAGTGCACTTTAATAAATTATTTAACAAATCATCACCCTCCATAAGATTGGCCTTGAATATCCATATCTGTTAAAGTCCTTTACTTGTTAAACCTAAAAAATGCAAATGCCAAGATTGTAGATATGGTGTACTAACTTTTGTCACAGTGACATGCCCTGTCACAGGGCGTATGTGTTCTGTTATACAATTGAAGTATTGGATATACTATTGAAATGTTTTTGTACTTTGAAATCTCAGATAAACTTAATTCTAAAAGAAGCATGACGTCAACAGCCTCACACCTACTTATATCTTACAGTTCTTTCTGTCTAATGCTGGCAACCTGAGCATGTTCCAGGCAAGGAACATTCAATAGCATTTTACTGCTCCAATAAGTTATTTCAATTAGCAATGTCAAGGCAGTCACTAAACAGATGGTGCATAACCTTCATACAATCTCATATGATTTTCTACTAATTACTGTAGAAAAATTGATTAAGTTTCTTTTGAATGGAATAACTTCTATCACACTTCAAAAACTACATACTGAAGATAGTCACAGCTTGCTGCTCTCTAAAAAAAAAAAAAACAGAAATGGCATCTTTACTTTGTTTCAAATCCCCAACCCTGGTGGCGGTTCAAAGTTATGGCAGTTATAACCCCTTACGTCATTATAAGGAGGAAGGTTAAATACTGAGTTAGCATCCTTTAAAACTAAGAGTATGACTACAGTGGGGTGGAATTTGGGACTTCATGCCAACTCCCTGTTTCTGTTCTATTTTCCCTTTTCTGACTTCTAGGCCAACAGGAGAGCGGGGAGGGCCGCACTTTTGTTACCCTTCTTAAAGAATTGTGTTGAGTTTGGGAAACAAAGATGGGTGTCTGAGTGGGTAGTTGAGGATGGACTGCAGGCACAGAAAAAACCAGCTGGTGTGCCCCTCTCACCACCAGCAGACCCTTCTTCCTCATTGGTTCAGGGCAAACAATCTCCAAGAATTCAAGGAAACACTTAGAGTTATTTTCTGTTATTTCACTTTTCCTTGATCTGGAGCCAATGCAGAAAGAAATCTAAAGGTGAAGGAAAGGCAGCATTCAGCACTGACCAAGTCCATGTTGGAGAAGGGTAATATTACCATCACCTATACCCAAGAGAAGGGACCAAGATGCCCTGGGTAATGTTCAGTATCACCTGGGACTGCCACTGTCTCCTGTCGTCGTTAGCACTGCTGAGTTTAAGCTTTGAGCCAGGAATTAAGCCAAAATCTCCATGGATCTGTCTAACTTAGTCTTTGCCTCCATGACAGCTTGTTACATCCTGAGGTAGAGCCTTTGTAAACCCTGTGTTCAAAGGGCCCTGGTAAGTAAGGCACATCTTCTGTCTTGGACCAGAAAGTTGCTTAAGCACAGAGCCTAAAGGCAGAGCTGCCATGATCTACTCATGGGGATTGAGTACTTATTGAAGCCAATGTCACACACCTGTTTGTCATTTTCACCTCCAAACGAAGAGTCATGCTGTACATCAGTGAGAAATGTTCAGTTCTCATCTGTCAGCTGTTTGTTTGTTTGTTTGTTTTTGCTCTCTTTCTATGTGAGAAGACATTTAATCATGGACTCATTGGGCAAGCAACATTGTGTGGCCTCTGAAGGCTGAGCTTTTAGTTCTGTCATCAGAACAAATGTAAAAGAATTGAATAATGAAATCTGAAAGATTGTTGCTTCAAATCTAAAAATATTTTATCCCTTTTTTACCTTCTCTAAATAGTATTATACGTTGAAGGCAAAACAATAACTTCGGATTCTAAAAAGTTTAACATTGCTTACATGTGCAAATTTCTGTTTTGAAGTTCCTTTAAAGGGCCTAATTACTACAACCAAATCATACAATTAAAAAGTTTGTATGCTGCTGAAATAATCACATCAGATGTATTGCTTCCAGTAGGATAAATCTTCTCAAAGATTTAAGCTATGAAGACCAAATCTACAGAAGATAGCAACTCAGTAAGACTTATTTATAAAAGTTTAGTCTTATTGCCAATATCCATGAGATATCATAAAATCAACTTAAATATTTGTAATAAAGGATTACAGACTAGGAAATATATTTCTTTAATAAAAATAACTCATGAAAGTTGAATTGTGACTAAGAGGAAGAGAAAAGAAGGAAAGAAACTAACAATTGTTAAATACTTATTAGGTGCATAGATTTATATACTTTACATCATGTAACTGTTAAAAGAACCCTGTGAAGTGGGTATTATGACTAATGCTTTGAAGCTGAGGGAATTGAAGCTCAGAGAATTTGAGTAACTGGACCAAAGTCATATAGCTAGTAAGTGAAGAGCTAGGATTCAAATCTAGGTCTGTATGCTTCCAAAATTCACTCTCATTCTTTGTATGAGAGGCCAATTAAAAACCCCCTACATCCCTCTGAATTTGAACTCAATTGAGAAATAAGACAGAGAGATGCAGATCAAAGCACTCATTTTCTTACCAATAAAAATGACTGCAAAATGTGGCTTTCGATGGGTGACTGATTTGCTTGCTATAGTTCTCAGGGAATTGGAAATCCTTGCCCTCTTGGTTCCTGGCTCAGCAGGACCCCTGAGGGGCCTCTCCCTGCCCAGGGAAAGAGACTGCTCTAGAAGGTTTACTACACCAGTGAGGAGAAGATGAGCCCATGGGGGATTGGCTGGCTGAGGGTGAAATCGAGGCTGGAGCCAAGTGTGCTGAGCTTTCACATGAGGTCCTTTGCTCCTGTTCCCTGGAGGCATAAATGGCTGGGGTAGACAGAAGCAGGGGTATTTCTTCTGTCCTTTCTTGCTTAGGGAGTGGGGGTGGAAATCTCCCTGCATCTAAGGAAATTTGAAAAGACAAACTATGGTTGCTTCTTCAAGCAAACCACCTCACCACACTATCCAGGGGCTAAAACCCACTTGCCGCTGCTAAATTATGCCAAGAGAGAACATTCTGATCTTTCTCCTCCATTCTAGGCATGGCAGTATGGTTTGGTGCTTAAAGGCATGGAGTTTTGAGTTGCAGACCTAGGTTTGAGTGCTGAATCTACTAGCTTCAGGGTGTTAAACAAGGTTCTTAATCTCTCTAAACCTTATTTTTCTCAAAGATGAAAACTGGATGTAGTTGTGAGGATAGTGCATGCACATAGTATGTGCACTTGGCACATTAATTAGCTATTATTGTGGACATAATTTCTCCTAAGAAAAAGGATGAACTAATTGCAGGGCCTAGCCTAAGCTCTGAGAAGTCATTCGTTATAGCATTTCAGTCCATAGTAAACAAGAAGAAATGAGCCAAAGAGTTTAAACCAGGGAAGGCATAGCTGTGGTCACCAAACAACCTGTTAAAGGCAAGCTGTAGTCACCAAACAACCTATTACGGACTGAATTGTGTTCTTCAAATTCATATGTTGAAGTCCTAACCCCAAGTACCGTATATGACTGTATTTGGGGATGGGGTCCCTAAAGAAGTCATTCAATTGGAATGAGTCATATTGGATTCGGTGTTGGGAATTGGCTGGCCAAGGGAGAAATCAAGGCTGGAACCAAGTGCTGAACTCTCACATCAGGTCCTTTGCTCCTCTTACCAGGACCCTAATTCAATATGACTGGCATCTTTATAAGAAGAGGAAGAGGCACCAGGGAGGTATACATGCGGAGAAAAGGCCATGTGTGGACACAGTAAGATGACGGACATCTGTAAGCCAAGGAGGGAGACCTCAGAAGAAACCAATCTTGCCTGCACCTTGATCTTGGATGTCCAGCCTCCAGAACTGTGAAAAAACTGAACTGGTAATGTTTAAGCCCCCCAGTCTGTGGTATTTTGTTGTGGTGGCCCTAGCAGACAAATATACAACCCAAAGGAATATTGTTTCCACATTCTCCCTCTTCCACTTTATAGTTTTTTCTCCTTTGTTTCTTTCTTTTTCTCTTTTACTTTCCTTTTCTTCTCTTCTCTTTCCTCTTTCCTTTGGTTTTTAATTTTAATATTAATTTTTGGCCTTCCTATACCTCCTTTTTCCTTTCCAGGAAGCTGAATTCCAGACAATTAACCATTCATCTCATCAGTTCAGCAAAGCAAATGCCCTCAGTGGTTTTTTTTGTGATTTAATTATTATAGGATCAGAATGTAACTTATTCCTCTGGGAAAAATGAAACATAAACATTTCAGAAATAAGGTTTTGGGCCAGCTTCGTTGGTTTTAAGAGAAGGAAGGGAGGAGACTCATGCAGGTTTGACGCTGAGCCGCACCATGTTGTTGGGCCTGGCAGGCACTCGAGGCTTTAGGTATTGTTTGAATCCAGACTAGAAAATCATTACTTTCTAAAAGCCTTGAGGGTTTGGATCTAGAAAAGTCTATGTGAAGAGATAATCGTTTGGAAAAAGTTTTGCCGAACTAAAGAAAAGTTTCCACAGTTACCTTTTCTGTCCTCATGTAGAGCATCTTTGTTAACTAGGTCTTGGATCAATCCAAGCTGTGTCTGAGAGTAACCATTCATAATTTCTCACCGGCCAACACTAACACCCTTTAGAAAAGGAACTCAAAGCAGCCTCGCAGCCAGAGTCATGCGATCGTGGTGGGAGTACAGCTCCTCACCAAGGTCAGCTCCTCAGTGAAATCCATGCCTTCTGGAGGACTGCTTGTAAATAAATATTAAGCACGAACATTAAAAAATAATTTGGCTCTGACCATCAAATAGTGAAAGAGTGTATCAATTTCATTATTATATAAGCATACATGACCAAATTCAGCTAGAGTGGAGTCTTGGCTCGAGTACCAAGCTTGGATTTCCCCAAGAAACACTTTCCCATAATTCATAATGAAAATCTTTCCATTTACTGTGGTTCAACTATTTGCAGAAATTTCAGGCTGGGCTCAGTGGTCCTAAATTTATGCATGCTGGTATACTGAGAAGATCACCATGTCACGGGGGCTCTTCCCTCCCAGTTTACTCCTGGAGTCTATTTAATTTGCAACTCTAACTCTGTGTTCCCAGGATTGCATCAAATTTGGACTTTCCTCACATCTCAGCAGCCGCACTTTGCTTGAAATGAGATACTCCCATCTCCGGTCACTGTGCTCTGGCCCCCCAGGACATTCCTCTCACCCGCTGCCCACAGAGTAGCTGCTGAGAGTCCTCTGCCCAGGAGTCCCGAGTGAGAAGACAGTCTTGACTGTGCCTGCCCCCTTTTAGTGACATCCTTCAGGGATTCCTCAGTTCGTTCATTTCCTAGGGCTGCTGAAACAAGTTACCCCAAACTGCGCAGCATAAAACAATACAAATATTATGCTTTCATAGGTTGAGAGGCAAGAAGTTGAAACTCATGGTGTTGCCAGGACCATGCTCCCTCTGAAGAAGGGAGAAGAGTCCTTCCTTGCCACTTCCTAGATTCTAGTGGCTCTTGGCATTGTGGCTGCATCTCTCCAGTCCCTGCCTCTGTCATCACACAGCCATCTTTCTTCTTCTTCTTTTTTTTTTTTTTTGAGACGGAGTCTTGCTCTGTCACCCAGGCTTGAGTGCAGTAGCGCGATCTCAGCTCACTGCAACCTTCACCTCCCAGGCTCAAGCGATTCTCCTGCCTCAGCCTCCTGAATAGCTGGGATTACAGGCGCATGCCACCAGGCATGGCTAATTTTTTTGTATTTTTAGTAGAGACGGGGTTTAACCATGTTGGTCAGGCTGGTCTTGAACTCCTGACCTCATGAGCCGTCCGCCTCGGCCTCCCAGAGTCCTGGGATTACAGGCATGAGCCACCGCACCCAGCCATCTCTTATTTTCCTTCTTATAAGAACACCAGTCATTGGGTTTAGGGTCCATCCTAATCTAGTATGACCTCATCCTAACCTAACTGATTATATCTACAAAGACCCTATTTTCAAATAAGGTAGCAATCTGAGGTTCCAGGTGGACATAAATTGAGTGAGGAGGGGAGGGCACTATTTAACCCAGTATACTCAGGGACCTTGCTGACCCTGCCTCTCTGCCCACACACACCATACAGGGTCACCTGGTGGTGACTGCTAAAAGTAACAAGCTACCATTTGTCCTGGATTCCAAACCAATTCAGAAGAACCCTGGGAGCCACATGACTATGAAGAACTGTTTCTTACCATGGAAATTACAGCAGAACATTCACTGAGATCGTTGTTTGTTATGAAACAGGTACTAGACTTAACTAGTTTTGAAGGGTAGAACATATTTTAGAGTATCTTTTATATGATTCATTAGACTTTATTTTTATTTATTTTTATTTATTTATTGAGACAGAATCTTACTTTGTCACCCAGGCTGGAGTGCAGTGGTGTGATCTCGGCTCACTGCAACTTCTCCTCACAGGTTCAAGCGATTCTCTTGCCTCAGCCTCCCAAGTAGCTGGGACTACAGGCGACTGCCACCACACCTGGCTAATTTTTGTATTTTTAGTAGAGACAGGGTTTTGCCATGTTAGCCAGGCTGGTCTTGAACTCCTGACCTCAGGTAATCCACCTACCTAGCTAGGCGTCCCAAAGTGCTGGGATTACAGGTGTGAGCCACCATGCCTGGACTCATTAGACTTTAAAGCAATAATTAAAAAAAAAAAAATACCCTGAAGATGTTGAAAGTAAGGCATAAAGTTGGTGTGGCAGTCAAAGAAGAACACATCAGTTTAAAAAATGATAGAAATCGCTTTTTGAAAATTGCCTTTACAGGACGGGCATGGTCATTCACACCTGTAATCCCAGCACTTTAGGAGGCTGAGGCAGGCGGATCACCTGAGGTCAGGAGTTTGAGACCATCCTGGCCAACATGGTGAAACCCAGTCTCTACTAAAAATACAAAAATTAGCCAGGCACAGTGGCGGGCACCCTTAGTCCCAACTACTCAGGAGGCTGAGGCAGGAGAATTGCTTGAACCCAGGAGGTGGAGGTTGCAATGAACTGAGATTGCGTCATTGCACTCCACCCTGGGCAATAGAGCCAGACTCCGTCTCAAAATAAATAAATAAATAAAAATAAAAAAAATTTAAAAATAAAAATTGCCTTCACAAAAAAAGATACTGAATTATACATTGTGCTTACCAAAATCCAGCTCTAAGAGTCCATTGTGTACCTGATATTTTTTCCAAGTTGAAAATGAATCAGGGCGTTGAAGTCACTTGAAAGAAAACATTTTTTGAAAAAAACTCTGTTACGTCTACATTGTAGCAACTCCTCCTACCCTCATACACAATGCCAGCTGACCTTCTGACAAGCTGCTCAATATATATCTAAAGTCAGAATCGAGATTTTGTACTACGATACATGGCTGAGTTATAGTGAAGAGAGAGCAGGGAGACTTTGCTCATTATCCTGCATTAGTCAGACTAGATTTACAGCTCAAAACAAAACAGCCACAGTAACTGAAGTGCAGACCAGGAACTTGAATTGATGAAAATCACTTCTATTTAAATGAACCCTAAAAAGCTTGCTGCATATAATTGTTATAATAGCCTTAAAAAGATCACTTTGCCAAATGTTTCCATCCAAAAAGAAGTAAGCCAGACTAGAAACAATCTGGAAAACTCTACTTTTTCTGTATTTCCTTTTCCCATGAGGATGGGAGAGCTCAGGATATGGAGAGGAGCTGACAGAACTCATCCATCTCTGAATCTAGAGATTTGCAAAGAGGTGGAAGAGGCAGGTATTGCTAAACAGACAGAGGGCATGAAAAATTTCAAGGCAATTTTTAAATTGTATGGGTGCTTGGATTATTTGAGCTTGCCTAGCAGGTTATGTTAACGCCTTGAACAATGTTTGTCAGGAAGCACCATAGTAGATTAATTACCAGCATGGATCTGAGAACCAGACAGACTTGTGAATGAGCCTCTCTTGTGGCTCCATGAGTAAAGAAGTTAATTTCCCTACATTTCATCATATCTAAGTCAGTGCTTATAAGAGTACCTATTACATAGACTTGTTAAAAGGCTTCGATCAGATAACACATGCAAAATGAATGGCAAATAATAAGTGTTTAATAAAACTTAGCAATTAACTAGAAACTTTTTACTGATTTATTTGATTTTTGCCTTTGGAACATATAAAGACTACTTTCTAATGACTTAGCTAATGCAAATATACTATAAAAATCTACCTCTTCAGAGATGCACTGTACGAGGGACTTGATCTGTTGTTCCTGACATTGAAGATGGAGGGAGAGACCAGGAACCAAGGAATGTGGATGGCTTCTGGAAGGTGGAAAAAGCAAGGGAACATTCTCCCCCAGACCCTCCAGAAAGGAACTCAGCCCTGCTGACATCTTTGTTTTTCTTTTCTCTTTTTAGTAGAGATGAAGTCTCCCTATGTTGTACAGGCTGTTCTCAAACTTCTGGGCTCAAGTAATCGTCCCACTTCGGCCTCCCAAAGTGCTGGGGTTACAGTTGTGAGCCACTGCACCTGGCCTCCTAGTGACATCTTAATTTTAGTCCAGTGAGATTCATATTTGAATTTCTGACCTACAGAACCACAAGGCAATAACTTTGTGTTGTTTTAAGATACTAAATTTTTGCTTTTTTTGTTATGGCAGCCCAAGAAAAGAAATACAGCATTGTATCATGTCAAAAAATGTCTACCTTTTCAGTGGAATTTGCACTGTACAATGTTTAGGCACAATGCTCAGGGGTTTGTGTCCCTGACTTTGAGGATGGAGACAGATGGTGAAGTTTAAGGGAAAAGGGAAGAGGGTGAAAGAGGAAGAGAACAAAGTGGTCATAAGGGAGAGAGGTGAGGAAGACGAATGAGGACAAGAGAGGAAGAAGGATGAAGAAGGAAAGAG